CACCCAGGCGCCATTAATCCCTGGAGTACACGTGTCCAAGGGTATCTGATGTGCGGTGATGAACTCTCACACTACAAACAGCTAAATATATATATATATAAATTCTTAACTAAAACAGTAGTAGTGTAGTTTAACAGCTTAGCTAAAATCTACCGTTTAATTACAGTAAGATTAAAATATGAAACCCCCCCAAATGTGTGAAGGGAATTTTACTGTTGACAATAAATGATAAAATACAGTCTGCTTAGAAGTAATGAATACAATTAAATACAGTTTCTTCAAATATTATTCAAATTAATCATCGGTAGATTTCCCCACATATGTTGGTCAATCTAGCATATGCCGCTGATGATATCCTTTTGATGTGGGATTTTGGGGACAGGTTCGGTATGATTACAACCCCCAGATCTTTCTCTCTATTTGACTCTTGCAGGCTTTCACCTCCCAGATGGTACCTTGTGTTCAGCCTCCTGCTCCATTCACCTAATTTCATTACTTTTCACTTTCCTGAGTTAAACATTAGTAACCATTTACTTGACCATTCCTCCAGTTTGTCCAGGTCATACTGTAGTCTCTGTCTATGTTCATCTCTTTTGATTCTTCTCATATAATTTATGCATCATCGGCAAACATTGAGAGGAATGAGTCTATACCCTCTGGAAGATCATTTACATATATCAGAAACAGGATGGGTCCAAGCCCTGTGGGACTCTGCTGGTGACATCTCGCCACTTTGATGTCTCCTCGCTCACTGTAACTTGCTGTTGTTATAGATTCAGCCACTCGGAACAAGTTCCAAGTAGCACGGGCTATGGTGAGCCCGTAACATACCTGGCACAGGAGTGGGGCAAGTAGCATGGGCTATGGTGAGCCCGTAGTGGACTTAGCGTAACTTGCTGTTGTTGTTGTTGTTTAAGATTCGCTACTGGAACAACGATAAGTTCCAGTAGCACGGGCTATGGTAACTTGCTGTTTCCTATTGCTTAGATACTCTCTTATCCACTGGAACACCTTACCTTTCATTCCAGCCTGTTTCTCCAACTTTAGTAACAGCCTCTTATGGGGTACTGTGTCAAAGGATTTCTGACAGTTTAAGAAAATGCAGTTTGCCCACTTTTTCTTTTCTGCCTAATTTTTATTGCCTGGTCATAGAATGTTATTAAGCCTGTGAGGCATGATTTCCCATCTCTGAACCCATGCTGGTGGTGTGTTACAAAGCTCTTTCTCTTCAAATGTTCTATGAACCTTTTCCTCACGATCTTCTCCATCACCTTGCATGGTATACGAGTTAAGGATCACATTAGTTAGGGATTACATGGTATCACAAGTTAAAGATCATGCCTGTAGATCAGTGCCTCTTGCCTGTCACCTTTATGGTATGTTAAGAACATAAGAACATAAGAATAAAGATAACTGCAGAAGGCCTATTTTCCCATACGAGGCAGCTCCTATTTATAACTACCCAGTTCCACTCATATACATGTCCAACCCACGTTTGAAACAATCAAGGGACCCCACCTTCACCACGTTATACGGTAATTGGTTCCACAAATCAACAACCCTGTTCGCAAACCAGTATTTACCCAGGTCTTTCCTAAATCTAAACCTATCCAATTTATACCCATTGTTTCGTGTTCTGTCTTGTGTTGATACTTTTAATACCCTATTAATATTCCCTTTGATATGTCCTTTCATCCACTTGTACACCTCTTTTAGTCACCCCCAATTCTTCGTCTTTCTAGAGAATGTAATTAAAGCTTTGTCAATCTTCCTTCATATGACAGATTTCTAATTTGGGGGATTAACTGTGTCATCCTATGCTGGACGTGTTCTAGTGAATTTATATCCATTCTGTAGTACGGCGACTAAAACTGAACTGCATAATCTAAATGGGGCCTAACCAGAGCAAGATATAGCTGAAGAACAACACCAGGTGTCCTATTAGTAACGCTTTGATTAATAAGTCCCAGTGTCTTATTTGTTTTATTACGAACATTTATGCATGGATTTTTTGGTTTTAAATTCCTGCTAATCATAACTCCCAGATCCCTTTCGCAATCCGACTTCGCAATCTCAACACCATTTAGCTCGTATCTTGTAACTCTATCATCATTACCTAGCCTCAAAACTTTACATTTTTTAGCATTAAACTGCATATGACAATCTTTTGACCATTTCAAAACCCTATTTGGATCGTCTTGAAGTGATAGTGTCTTTTTCTGTGTTTATTTTCCTCCCAATTTTTGTATCATCGGCAAATTTACAAATATTGTTGCTCAAACCTGAATCTAAATCATTTATATATATATATATTATAAATAACAGAGATCCCAGGACAGAGCCTTGAGGCATTGCACTTACAACATTTTCCAAGTCTGACTTAACCCCATTTATAATAACTCTCTGTTTTCTTTGGTATAGCCATGCCCTAATCCAACTTAATATAGCACCCCCAATACCATGAGCTTCTATCTTTTTAATTATTCTTTCACATGGCACTATATCAAAAGCTTTGCTAAAGTCAAGGTACACAACATCACAAACCTTACCACTGTTAACTGCCTCAACTATGCTGTAATAAAATGACAGCAAATTTGTTAAACATGAACGGCCATTTGCAAAACCATGTTGTGAATCACTTATTTATTTATTTATTTATTTATGTTTTCAAGATGAAGACGAATGGTATTTGCAATTATCGATTCAAGTAACTTTCCCACAATAGACGTTAAACTAATTGGCCGATAGTTGGACGCAAGTGATCCATCTCCTTTCTTGTAAATTTGAACCACATTAGCAACCTTCCAGAACTCTGGCACTCCGCCTGACTCTAATGATTTTTTAAATATAGTAGATTTATTGAATATGGTAAAGATTTGAATATGATTTTTTAAATATTGGGACATTTGCTGTCTTCCAGCTTTCCGGTAGGTCTCCTGTTTCCAATGACCTGTTATACACCATAGAGTGGCACACTTAGTGCTTCTGTATCCTCTTTTAGTATCTATGGCAGGATTCTATTAGGCCCAATAAATAGACTTTGTCACATTCAGCTCCAACAGATTCCTTTTGACCACATCACTGGTGAGCTCAAATTCCTCCAACGTTGCTTGGTTTGCCATCTCCTCTCTTAGAACAGGGGCTTCTTGATCTATTGTGGAGACCTCGTGGAATTTCTTGTGGATTTCTTCACACACCTTGTCATTCTCAGTGTATCTGTTCTCCCCCTTTTTCAGTTTCATCACTTGTTCTTTCACTGCTGTTTTCCTCCCTGTGGATGCTTTGCCTGTGGATGGACGAAGGAAAAAGTAAGGAACTTACATTCCTGACTAAATCATAGATTCTTCTGTTGCTTTTAATTTTTCTCCTTCATGGCCGGGATAAACCTGTCTGCAGCTTCCTGGCACTTCTGTCTCAACAGGAGAAGCTTAGGAGAGCGATGGACATCCGCCCGCACCGACAGGCGGCGGGGAGCCGATAGATGGAGGAAGAGGATGGGAAGGAGATCTAGAAGGAAGGGGAACCCCAGACAGAGGACCAGGGAGGATCCTTCGGAGAGAACCCAAAGGGACAGAGGAGGGGGCAGTGGGCGCATCAGGGTCCAAGGCCTGGAAACGGTTGTGAGTCTGAGGAAGGCGGGAAGGACGAGGAGAGGAAGAGCGCAACACGCGAGCATAAGAGATATTAGCATAAGGCGGGAGCCGGCGAACCTGGCGCCTCGCCTTAGGAAAAGATAAACGCTCCCGGTGCTTCAAGTTGAGGACGGCTGCCTCAAGCTTGTAATGGACAGCTTTGGTTGCTCTCCCTGCTCTCTGGTGCTCTGTTATTTCTGTAGTGTCTCAATGTTCTTGTACTCAGTTACTTAACTACCTTACATTCCTGACTAAATCATAGATTCTTCTGTTGCTTTTAATTTTTCTCCTTCATGGCCGGGATAAACCTGTCTGCAGCTTCCTGGCACTTCTGGTTGATGTAGTCCGTCATATCTAGCACAGTCTTTATTCTGAGTTCGGTTTCCCATGATATTCCCATTAGGAAGTTTCTCATCTAGTCATATGTTCTTCTTCGGTACTTCAGCCTTTTACATTCCGATCCCTTCCTCGGATAGGGTATCCCTACCTCCACCAGATACTCAAATATCAATACGCTGTGGTCACTCATTTCCAAGGGAGGCTTCAAAAGCTGAGCTGTAGATCTGAGCTGAGCTGAGCTGAACTGAGCTGAACTGAGCTGAGCTGAGCTTCGAGAGCTGTATAAATGTACCTGTGTGCCTCCACCCGGACTTCTGTAGCAAGCATGGAGATCTCACTGACAAAATACCCTAACTATAATGGAAAATGTTGGACGTAAAGTTACTAAAATTATACTAGAACAAAGTCCATGTCATACAAGGAAAGTCTGAGACCCATATGACAAAGTCTACAGGCATGACATCACAAAGCCAGTCTTTTCCAAAACTATAAAACACTGAACAAATTGAAAAGCTCTAAGGCTATAACACGATTCAGAAGACATTAGCTCCCTTACCCTTTAGAAAAAAATTTAAGTTGTAATGATTTTTATTATTATTATCATTATTATTATTATTATTATTATTATTATTATTATTATTATTCTTTTTACGTATCAATATTATTTTAAATTTTAGTCATTGTAATTGTAATATAATATTATCTTTGCTCGTGATGTGAATTGTGGAGAGTAAATATGGAAGTGGAGGAAACATGAGAACTTAAATGATACATAATGGACCGAATAGCCATCAAAATAGCAGGTGTGTCTGGTTTTATGTATCATGCCTTTTAAACGAAACAGATAACATATATTTGTTATTACTTCAAATCTAATTATATCAAGTTAGTATTGACGAAGATTAATTAAGATTACAAAAAAGTATAGGCATATGCTACCCAAAGCACAGAAAAAGGTTAAGAAAAGGACCGAGAAGCGGATGATGAGGTAGTTAGAATTTCCTCTCAAGACAAGTGAAGAGCACTCACCTGTAGCTGGGTCAGAGTAGGAGACAGTGCCGACCATCTTATCCTTGTCGAGACGAGAGAGAACATCTCGAGCGTGAGGATTGTCATGGTAACGCATCAGCATTGAGGCAACTGCTGCTATATGCATGGCTAATGGGTGAAAACAACGCAGTTAGTCTCGTATACGCAAAATTCCTCAAAAGATTTGTTTATATATTAGGCAATAAGAGTAAAAATGACTAAGGTTATTTTTCAATTATTAAAGTCCTTGTTTCTAATGGTTTACGTATACTATTCATTATATACAGTACCTTACAGTGCAACCAAATTGCCATAACAAATCCAAAAATACATTATTACACGGGATTTAATAGTGGAGCGTACTGTGGTCTATAGATGACACAACAGTCCTATAGACAACACTATAGACCATAAATGACAATGCAGACAATACAAAACACTGCAAATCATAGATTACACTACACACCACAGTTGATACTATAGACCACAGATGACACTGTACACCATAGATGGCACTACAGATCATACATTACACTATACACCACAGATGACACTACAAATCATGAATGACAGTATTCACCATATATGACATTACAGACCATAGATGACATTGCAGATCATCTATGGTACTACAGACCACAGATAACTTTATAGACCACAGTTAACACTATAGACCACAGTTGACACTATAGACCATAGATAACATTTTAGACCACAACCATAGTAGACACTATAAAACATACATGACACCATAGACCATGAGCATATCACTTACTATAAACCATGGCGGTGGAAGGACAGCCATAGCGAGCAATGGTCTCACATACCATGGCACAACATACATTGTTCTCGCCCAGGCCTCCCAGCTCTTGGGGCACGATGAGGCCCAAGAGGCCTAGCTCTGCCAGGCTGTCTAGTGATGCCCTTGGGTAACTGTAGTCCCTGTCACACTGAACCTGTGGGAGAAGGCTTGGCAGGTGTGTATCGTTACTTGTGCATGTGTGGCAGGTGTGTATTGTTACTTGTGCATGTGTGGCAGGTGTGTATGGTTACTTGTGCATGTGTGGCAGGTGTGTATGGTTACTTGTGCATGTGTGGCAGGTGTGTATGGTTACTTGTGAATGTGTGGCAGGTGTGTATGATGACTTGTGCATGTGTGGCAGATGTTATGATGACTTGTGCATGTGTGGTAGGTGTGTATGATGACTTGTGCATGTGTGTGGTAGGTGTGTATGATGACTTGTGCAGGTGTGTATGATGACTTGTGCATGTGTGGCAGGTGTGTATGATGACTTGTGCATATGTGTGGCAGGTGTGTATGATGACTTGTGCATGTGTGGCAGATGTTATGATGACTTGTGCATGCGTGGTAGGTGTGTATGATGACTTGTGCATGTGTGTGGTAGGTGTGTATGATGACTTGTGCATGTGGCAGGTGTGTATGATGACTTGTGCATGTGTGGCAGGTGTGTATGGTTACTTGTGCATGTGTGGTAGGTGTGTATGATGACTTGTGCATGTGTGGCAGGTGTGTATGGTTACTTGTGCATGTGTGGCAGGTGTGTATGGTTACTTGTGCATATGTGGTAGGTGTGTATGATGACTTGTGCATGTGTGGCAGGTGTGTATGATGACTTGTGCATGTGTGTGGCAGGTGTTATAATGACTTGTGCATGTGTGTGGCAGGTGTGTATGATGTCTTGTGCATATGTGGCAGGTGTGTATGATGACTTGTGCATGTGTGGCAGGTGTGTATGATGACTTGTGCATGTGTGTGGCAGGTGTGTATGATGACTTGTGCATGTGTGTGGCAGGTGTGTATGATGACTTGTGCATGTGTGTGGTAGGTGTGTATGATGACTTGTGCATGTAGCAGGTGTGTATGATGACTTGTGCATGTGTGGCAGGTGTGAATGATGACTTGTGTATGTGTGTGGCAGGTGTGTATGATGACTTGTGCATGTGTGGTAGGTGTGTATGATGACTTGTGCATGTGTGTGGCGGGTGTGTATGATGTCTTGTGCATGTGTGTGGCAGGTGTGTATGATGACGTGTGCATGTGGCAGGTGTGTATGATGACTTGTGCATGTGGCAGGTGTGTATGATGACTTGTGCATGTGTGTGCCAGGTGTGTATGATGACTTGTGCATGTGTGTGGTAGGTGTGTATGATGACTTGTGCATGTAGCAGGTGTGTATGATGACTTGTGCATATGTGTGGCAGGTGTGTATGATGACTTGTGCATGTGTGGCAGATGTTATGATGACTTGTGCATGTGTGGTAGGTGTGTATGATGACTTGTGCATGTGTGTGGTAGGTGTGTATGATGACTTGTGCATGTGGCAGGTGTGTATGATGACTTGTGCATGTGTGGCAGGTGTGTATGGTTACTTGTGAATGTGTGGTAGGTGTGTATGATGACTTGTGCATGTGTGGCAGGTGTGTATGGTTACTTGTGCATGTGTGGTAGGTGTGTATGATGACTTGTGCATGTGTGGCAGGTGTGTATGATGACTTGTGCATGTGTGTGGCAGGTGTTATAATGACTTGTGCATGTGTGTGGCAGGTGTGTATGATGTCTTGTGCATATGTGGCAGGTGTGTATGATGACTTGTGCATGTGTGGCAGGTGTGTATGATGACTTGTGCATGTGTGTGGTAGGTGTGTATGATGACTTGTGCATGTAGCAGGTGTGTATGATGACTTGTGCATGTGTGGCAAGTGTGAATGATGACTTGTGTATGTGTGTGGCAGGTGTGTATGATGACTTGTGCATGTGTGGTAGGTGTGTATGATGACTTGTGCATGTGTGTGTCAGGTGTGTATGATGACGTGTGCATGTGGCAGGTGTGTATGATGACTTGTGCATGTGGCAGGTGTGTATGATGACTTGTGCATGTGTGTGCCAGGTGTGTATGATGACTTGTGCAAGTGTGTGGTAGATGTGTATGATGACTTGTGCATGTAGCAGGTGTGTATGATGACTTGTGCATGTGTGGCAGGTGTGTATGATGACTTGTGCATGTGGCAGATGTGTATGATGACTTGTGCATGTGTGGCAGGTGTGTATGATGACTTGTGCATGTGTGTGGCAGGTGTGTATGATGACTTGTGCATGTGTGTGGCAGGTGTTATGATGACTTGTGCATGTGTGTGGCAGGTGTGTATGATGTCTTGTGCATATGTGGCAGGTGTGTATGATGACTTGTGCATGTGTGTGGTAGGTGTGTATGATGACTTGTGCATGTGGCAGGTGTGTATGATGACTTGTGCATGTGGCAGGTGTGTATGATGACTTGTGCATGTGGCAGGTGTGTATGATGACTTGTGCATGTGTGTGGCAGGTGTGTATGATGACTTGTGCATGTGGCAGGTGTGTATGATGACCTGCACACGTATCACAGGTGAATGATATGTTGGAGTATGCATCATTTGCAGCACGCAGTAATTTAGGGAATGCCATATTTTAAGTGAATGCAACATTTTAGTGTGCAGCACACAACTTACTGCATTAGGCCTGATCTTAACCCTGCACAGTTCGATGAGCTGAGCTTGAATCTTCTTTTGTCTCTCCGTCAGGAGCCAGTCAGGGTCGTACTCAGCTCCCAGACCCCAGTACTCCCTGGCCCCCCATTTCTTCGTCTGCTGCAACAGAAAATGGAATTATTATATTAATAATTCATAACAAAGGCACTGAAATCATCCATGGGGAAGATGGAATCCATGGTCGTAGGTTCTGTGAGAAGATAACAAATATATTTATCTTCTGAGCAACGAAGATAGCGAGAGGTACAGAGATAGGGAAGGCGAGGAAGGTTATCTCTCAGTTACTATGGGAAACTTATCAAGTTCAAGTTCAAGTATGTTTATTGAGATAAGCAATAAATACATCTCAAAGGGATAGAGTAGCTTAGGCTATTTCTACCCCCCAAAGGGACACTTATCTCTCAGTTACTAGGGTCAGTGACGGATACCTTTATGCCCCGCCGACTACATTTGTTCTACCAGTTATTAGTAAACTGGTAGAATAATTTACCTAATAATTTTACTAATAATTGAGTTATTAGTAAACGGTTCTGATGATCGAACTATATGTCGAATATGACATTGTTTTTGACTGAGGGCTTCCACTAATTCTTTCATTGTATTCCAGTTGTTGACTACGAATATTTCCATACTTTTCTCCGGCTCATTTGCAGCTACAACTTGCAGTTGGACAATGTCTTGTCCAACTTTCTCTGAAATAAAGTGACTGTCCTTGTCCACCTTGTCTATTCCCACCAGTATCTTGTATGTTGTGATCATATCCCTTCTCTTTCTCTCTCTCTAGAGTTGTGAGATTTAGTTCTCCTAACTTACACCAGTAGTAGGACCATTTTAGTTCTGGCATTAATCCTATTACTAACCTTTGCCAAATTTTTCCAAATTTAGTTTTGCGCTCTACAAGGTGCGGGTTCCATGCTGGTGCGGCAAACCCTAGTATTGGTACGAGTTCTTAATTAGGGTGATGGAGTGCCGGGCACGAGAAGCACTAGAGGAGGGAAGAGTGGGGACAAACACCTGACACCCATCGCTGACCCCTCGAGGTCAACCTGGTCACACACCCGTCACACTACACCTGCGACACTGGTACTGGTGGTCACTCATGGACGCTCTGTGGTCTACTGCTCGCTCCAGGAACACCAACTTGGTTCACTGCCACTTGGGCGGACACAACCGTCAGTACGCCAAGGCAGAGCCTGTGTGCTACGCAGAACTGTTGCAGGGTAGTTAGTTTAGTTCGTTTATTATGCACCCCATACCCATCCTGTGGGCGGTAGTGGAAAGGGTTATACAGGCCCATAATGGGCTCAGGGACTGAACCCCACAATTCATGTAACTAAGCAAGTTTCAGTCTTGATGAGCTACTTACAAAATTCAGTGCACATCGTGACATCAACAGAGGTGACTCATCGTCACGCCTCCGAAACCGACCACAATTAAGTAGTCTCTCAATTAAGCAACTGACATATGTGGAGAGGTAGTGTCACAATTGATATGTTTGTCCTGCACACCGCCCCCCCCCTATCCAGTGGGTAACGGTGGGATAGGTCACAATCACTCTGTTACTACCTACAGTTAGCAAAATGATTATATTTGGGAAAAATTTCTGGCAGAATATCATTATGAAACAAATATTTACACATCTCATTACCTTTTGTTATTTAATTGTCTCTGAATTCACGAATATTTTCGTACTCCATCACATAGTGACGGGTGCGAGGGATGGGAGGGAATTATCGGGGGAAAGCGCCAAGCTATTACGACTATATATCACTTGGAAGGGGTCAGGATAAGGATTAGGGATGGGACGGGGGAAGGAAGGTGCCCAACATCTTTGACGGTCGGGGATTGAACGTCGACCTGCATGAAGCGAGACCGTCGTTCGACCGTCCACCCGTAGTGGTTGGGTGTAACATTTGTTAGATAAAACATAAAAATATCCAGAAATCTGCATGTTAAACAAATCTCGAAAGTCAAGTACAAAATTTAATAACAATAAATTAGGTAGATAATGTAAAAATTTATTTAACATTAGTAAACGTAATTACAGATAATAGTTACATATGAAGAAATAATTATGAATGGAGTAATTTTTTGTAACCAAACTAATATTTAACTAAAATATTTAGTTTAACTAAACAAAATATTAACTAAACCAGATGGAAGAATCCGACGTAGCTTGGGTCGACCTTGTGCCCGAACCCCCCACCCCCCCTCACACACTCTCCCAGGTCACTCCCTCACACACACTCTCCCAGGTCACTCCCTCACACACTCTCCCAGGTCTCCCCCCTCACACACTCTCTCAGGTCTCCCCTTCACACACTCTCCCAGGTCTCCCCCTCACACACTCTCCCAGGTCTCCCTCTCACACACTCTCCCAGGTCTCCCCCTCACACACTCTCCCAGGTCTCCCCCTCACACACTCTCCCAGGTCTCCCCCTCACACACTCTCCCCGGTCTCCCCCTCACACACTCTCCCAGGTCTCCCCCTCACACACTCTCCCAGGTCTCCCTCTCACACATTCTCCCAGGTCTCCCCCTCACACACTCTCCCAGGTCTCCCCCTCACACACTCTCCCAGGTCTCCCCCTCACACACTCTCCCAGGTCTCCCCCTCACACACTCTCCCAGGTCTCCCCCTCACACACTCTCCCAGGTCTCCCCCTCACACACTCTCCCAGGTCTCCCCCTCACACACTCTCCCAGGTCTCCCCCTCACACACTCTCCCCGGTCTCCCACTCACACACTCTCCCAGGTCTCCCCCTCACACACTCTCCCAGGTCTCCCTCTCACACACTCTCCCAGGTCTCCCCCTCACACACTCTCCCAGGTCTCCCCCTCACACACTCTCCCAGGTCTCCCCCCTCACACACTTTCCCAGGTCTCCCTCTCACACATTCTCCCAGGTCTCCCCCTCACACACTCTCCCAGGTCACTCCCTCACACACTCTCCCAGGTCTCCCCCCTCACACACTCTCCCAGGTCTCCCCCCTCACACATTCTCCCAGGTCTCTCCCTCACACACTCTCCCAGGTCTCCCTCTCACACACTCTCCCAGGTCTCCCCCTCTAACACTCTCCCAGGTCTCCCCCTCACACACTCTCCCAGGTCTCCCCCTCACACACTCTCCCAGGTCTCCCTCACTCATAACCTCCCCCGTCACGCCCTCTCACTAACCTTCCTCGTCCTGCTTCGTCACTGTAACAATTTTCACTACACGCTGACTTTATTACTGTTTTATCTTCACACACACCCATTTACACTTGCTTCTTCCACATCTCCACTCACACACTCTCCCCATCTCCACCCACACACCCTCCCCATCACCACCCACACACACCCTCCCCATCACCACCCACACACACCCTCCCCATCTCCACCCACACACCCTCCCCATCACCACCCACACACACCCTCCCCATCTCCACCCACACACCCTCCCCATCACCACCCACATACACCCTCCCCATCTCCACCCACACACCCTCCCCATCTCCACCCACACACCCTCCCCATCACCACCCACACACACCCTCCCTATCTACACCCACACACCCTCCCCATCACCACCCACACACACCCTCCCCATCTCCACCCACACACCCTCCCCATCTCCACCCACACACCCTCCCCATCACCACCCACACACACCCTCCCCATCTCCACCCACACACCCTCCCCATCACCACCCACACACACCCTCCCCATCTCCACCCACACACCCTCCCCATCACCACCCACACACACCCTCCCCATCTCCACCCACACACCCTCCCCATCTCCACCCACACACCCTCCCCATCTCCACCCACACACTCTCCCCATCTCCACCCACACACCCTCCCTATCTACACCCACACACCCTCCCCATCTCCACCCACACACCCTCCCCATCACCACCCACACACCCTCCCCATCTCCACCCACACACTCTCCCCATCTCCACCCACACACCCTCCCCATCTCCACCCACACACCCTCCCCATCTCCACCCACACACCCTCCCCATCTCCACCCACACACACCCTCCCCATCTCCACCCACACACTCTCCCTATCTACACCCACACACCCTCCCCATCTCCACCCACACACCCTCCCCAACTCCACCCACACATCCTCCCCATCTACACCCACACACCCTCCCTATCTGCACCCACACATCCTCCCCATCTCCACCCACACACTCTCCCCAACTCCACCCAAACACCCTCCCCATCTCCACCACACACCCTCCCCATCTCCACCCACACACCTTCCCCATCTCCACCCACAAAACACAAATCTCTTCTCTGACATTCCTTGCACGCAAATATATGAATACATGAATATATAAACAAATAATTAACACCACCGACTTCTATTTGCACATTTCATATCGCCAGACGTCATGAAGGGGGTGCAGGGGTGGATCCCCATTCAGGGAGAGGTCAGAGGGGTCGGCCACCACACGAGACTCTCCAAAACTCACCAATAAAGACGCACGAGGCTAGCCAGAAGGGTCCGGTTTCTTCCCTTGGGAAGACAAGAAGAAAGACACTCTCGTTTAAAGATAGATATGACAGTGTTTTGGTGTGTGTCTGTCTGTCACCTTCCTCCTTCCCTCACACTTTTCCATTGACTCTCCCTCTTTTCCTTCCATTTTCCCTCCCTTTCGTTCTCACTCACGGCCCCCTATTATCCCTTCCTTCTCCTATTCCCCATTCTCCCTCTGTCCCATTTTCTCTATGTTCCCATTCTTCCTCCCTTCCATTCTCCCATTCACTTTTCCTCCCTCCCTTCTGTTCTCTATCCCTCCCATTCTCTCTCCTTCCTTCCCTCCCTCTTTTTCCCCTCTTCCCCTTGTTCTCTCTCCCTCACTCTCGTTTTCTTTCACCCTCTTCCATGATCATGATGATCATCAAGGCAGATGGGAGGACCTTTGACAAGCCGCCGGCTTCCTGTCCTCGTCAAGGCAACTGTAGTGTTAGTTACCTCGACGAGCCAACTATCTGATCTTAGTATGCGGAAAGACCACATGTGAAGAATTAGAGAATGCTGAACGCGTTTTCGGCTTAACTCGCCTTCATCAGAGCAAAATAGAGCGAGGTACCTTTAGAGAGGTACTCTCTCTCTCTCTCTCTCTCTCTCTCTCTCTCATCAATTCTAAGTCCCTAGAGTGTGTATCTGGGAACACCCATCGCATAGGTTCGAATCCTCATCACGGCTCCAAGAGATTTTCTCATTGATGCAGTCACGTTAATGTAATTACTCCCTCTGTGTATTATTATTATTATTATTATTATTATTATTTATTATTATTATTATTATTATTACTACAATTCGCTCGCATCATATTGTTGTATGAAGATGTTGTGTGCCTCCAAAATATATAATATAATACAAGAACAGTTATCGTAAATATGATAATATTCGTTAAATTAAATATAAGGTAAATTTAGTTGCGAGGCAGTAACCAGAGACAGAGGGAGGCAGTAACCAGAGACAGAGGGAGGCAGTAACCAGAGACAGAGGGAGGCAGTAACCAGAGACAGCGGGAGGCAGTAACCAGAGACAGAGGGAGGCAGTAACCAGAGACAGAGGGAGGCAGTAACCAGAGACAGAGGGAGGCAGTAACCAGAGACAGAGGGAGGCAGTAACCAGAGACAGAGGGAGGCAGTAACCAGAGGCAGCGGGAGGCAGTAACCAGAGACAGAGGGAGGCAGTAACCAGAGACAGAGGGAGGCAGTAACCAGAGACAGAGGGAGGCAGTAACCAGAGACAGAGGGAGGCAGTAACCAGAGGCAGAGGGAGGCAGTAACCAGAGACAGAGGGAGGCAGTAACCAGAGACAGAGGGAGGCAGTAACCAGAGACAGAGGGAGGCAGTAACCAGAGACAGAGGGAGGCAGTAACCAGAGACAGAGGGAGGCAGTAACCAGAGACAGAGGGAGGCAGTAACCAGAGACAGAGGGAGGCAGTAACCAGAGACAGAGGGAGGCAGTAACCAGAGACAGAGGGAGGCAGTAACCAGAGACAGAGGGAGGCAGTAACCAGAGACAGAGGGAGGCAGTAACCAGAGACAGAGGGAGGCAGTAACCAGAGACAGAGGGAGGCAGTAACCAGAGGCAGAGGGAGGCAGTAACCAGAGACAGAGGGAGGCAGTAACCAGAGACAGAGGGAGGCAGTAACCAGAGACAGAGGGAGGCAGTAACCAGAGACAGAGGGAGGCAGTAACCAGAGACAGAGGGAGGCAGTAACCAGAGACAGAGGGAGGCAGTAACCAGAGACAGAGGGAGGCAGTAACCAGAGACAGAGGGAGGCAGTAACCAGAGACAGAGGGAGGCAGTAACCAGAGACAGAGGGAGGCAGTAACCAGAGACAGAGGGAGGCAGTAACCAGAGACAGAGGGAGGCAGTAACCAGAGACAGAGGGAGGCAGTAACCAGAGACAGAGGGAGGCAGTAACCAGAGACAGAGGGAGGCAGTAACCAGAGACAGAGGGAGGCAGTAACCAGAGACAGAGGGAGGCAGTAACCAGAGACAGAGGGAGGCAGTAACCAGAGACAGAGGGAGGCAGTAACCAGAGACAGAGGGAGGCAGTAACCAGAGACAGTAACCAGGGAGGCAGTAACCAGAGACAGAGGGAGGCAGTAACCAGAGACAGAAGGAGGCAGTAACCAGAGACAGCGGGAGGCAGTAACCAGAGACAGTAACCAGAGACAGAGGGAGGCAGTAACCAGAGACAGAGGGAGGCAGTAACCAGAGACAGAGGGAGGCAGTAACCAGAGACAGAGGGAGGCAGTAACCAGAGACAGCGGGAGGCAGTAACCAGAGAGGGAGGCAGTAACCAGAGACAGAGGGAGGCAGTAACCAGAGACAGAGGGAGGCAGTAACCAGAGACAGAGGGAGGCAGTAACCAGAGGAGGGAGGCAGTAACCAGAGGCAGTAACCAGAGGCAGAGGGAGGCAGTAACCAGAGACAGCAGTAACCAGAGGAGGGAGGCAGTAACCAGAGGCAGCGGGAGGCAGTAACCAGAGGCAGAAGGAGGCAGTAACCAGAGGCAGTAACCAGAGACAGAGGGAGGCAGTAACCAGAGACAGAGGGAGGCAGTAACCAGAGACAGCGGGAGGCAGTAACCAGAGACAGAGGGAGGCAGTAACCAGAGACAGAGGGAGGCAGTAACCAGAGACAGAGGGAGACAGTAACCAGAGACAGAGGGAGGCAGTAACCAGAGACAGAGGGAGGCAGTAACCAGAGACAGCGGGAGGCAGTAACCAGAGGCAGCGGGAGGCAGTAACCAGAGGCAGCGGGAGGCAGTAACCAGAGGCAGCGGGAGGCAGTAACCAGAGGCAGCGGGAGGCAGTAACCAGAGGCAGAGGGAGGCAGTAATCAGAGGCAGCGGGAGGCAGTAATCAGAGGCAGCGGGAGGCAGTAACCAGAGGCAGCGGGAGGCAGTAACCAGAGGCAGCGGGAGGCAGTAACCAGAGGCAGCGGGAGGCAGTAACCAGAGGCAGAGGGAGGCAGTAATCAGAGGCAGCGGGAGGCAGTAACCAGAGGCAGCGGGAGGCAGTAACCAGAGGCAGCGGGAGGCAGTAACCAGAGGCAGCGGGAGGCAGTAACCAGAGGCAGAGGGAGGCAGTAACCAGAGACAGAGGGAGGCAGTAACCAGAGACAGAGGGAGGCAGTAACCAGAGACAGAGGGAGGCAGTAACCAGAGACAGAGGGAGGCAGTAACCAGAGAAAGAGGGAGGCAGTAACCAGAGACAGAGGGAGGCAGTAACCAGAGACAGAGGGAGGCAGTAACCAGAGAAAGAGGGAGGCAGTAACCAGAGACAGAGGGAGGCAGTAACCAGAGACAGAGGGAGGCAGTAACCAGAGACAGAGGGAGGCAGTAACCAGAGTCAGCGGGAGGCAGTAACCAGAGTCAGCGGGAGGCAGTAACCAGAGACAGAGCGAGGCAGTAACCAGAGAAAGAGGGAGGCAGTAACCAGAGACAGCGGGAGGCAGTAACCAGAGACAGAGGGAGGCAGTAACCAGAGAAAGAGGGAGGCAGTAACCAGAGACAGAGGGAGGCAGTAACCAGAGACAGAGGGAGGCAGTAACCAGAGACAGAGGGAGGCAGTAACCAGAGACAGAGGGAGGCAGTAACCAGAGACAGAGGGAGGCAGTAACCAGAGACAGAGGGAGGCAGTAACCAGAGACAGAGGGAGGCAGTAACCAGAGACAGAGTTAGGCAGTAACCAGAGACAGAGGGAGGCAGTAACCAGAGAAAGAGGGAGGCAGTAACCAGAGTCAGCGGGAGGCAGTAACCAGAGTCAGCGGGAGGCAGTAACCAGAGGCAGCGGGAGGCAGTAACCAGAGACAGAGGGAGGCAGTAACCAGAGACAGAGGGAGGCAGTAACCAGAGACAGAGGGAGGCAGTAACCAGAGACAGAGGGAGGCAGTAACCAGAGACAGAGGGAGGCAGTAACCAGAGACAGAGGGAGGCAGTAACCAGAGACAGAGTTAGGCAGTAACCAGAGACAGAGGGAGGCAGTAACCAGAGACAGAGGGAGGCAGTAACCAGAGGCAGCGGGAGGCAGTAACCAGAGGCAGCGGGAGGCAGTAACCAGAGGCAGCGGGAGGCAGTAACCAGAGGCAGCGGGAGGCAGTAATCAGAGGCAGAGGGAGGCAGTAACCAGAGGCAGCGGGAGGCAGTAACCAGAGGCAGCGGGAGGCAGTAACCAGAGGCAGCGGGAGGCAGGGGCCTGCATGATGATGAGGGTGGGCGCGCCTCCCCTACCAGTAGCAATTGGAAGCATTGATTATAAATACAAAATTAACTTCGAGCAGCTAACAGAGCGTGGTACAAGGTGAGACGAGTGGCAGCATAACTTACCGCTGCAGCCATAGTGAAGAGCTGGTCTGGGATGTGCCTAGAGGAGTGCCTTCACTGTCAGTCGGTAACTAACTGAGGGGCGGCTCAGTGAGTGAGCGCCACTTTGCCTCAGTGACTGTCGCAGGCAAAGAAAGAATGCTCTTATCACTGGAGACGTGGACCCAGCTGGGGTCAGAGTTGAGGCAGTAACCAGAGAGAGAGGGAGGCAGTAACCAGAGAGAGAGGGAGGCAGTAACCAGAGAGAGAGGGAGGCAGTAACCAGAGACAGAGGGAGGCAGTAACCAGAGACAGAGGGAGGCAGTAACCAGAGACAGAGGGAGGCAGTAACCAGAGACAGAGGGAGGCAGTAACCAGAGACAGAGGGAGGCAGTAACCAGAGACAGAGGGAGGCAGTAACCAGAGACAGAGGGAGGCAGTAACCAGAGGCAGAGGGAGGCAGTAACCAGAGACAGAGGGAGGCAGTAACCAGAGGTAGAGGGAGGCAGTAACCAGAGACAGAGGGAGGCAGTAACCAGAGGCAGAGGGAGGCAGTAACCAGAGACAGAGGGAGGCAGTAACCAGAGGCAGAGGGAGGCAGTAACCAGAGACAGAGGGAGGCAGTAACCAGAGGCAGAGGGAGGCAGTAACCAGAGGCAGAGGGAGGCAGTAACCAGAGGCAGAGGGAGGCAGTAACCAGGCAAGCAGGGTGGTTGATGAGGGGATTATCATCAGATTCATCTCTGACGAGATGACTGATACAAGTCTCTACAACAACACTAGTTAAGTTTTTCTGTTATTTGCCTCAGCGATCATTTGCTATGAAAGTTGCTAAATGTTAAATTATGATTTTTAAGTTATGCTGATATTTAACAAAAATTATTCAATAGAGAAGCACCTAAATTATCTCCCGAGTTCATCCACTCTCAGCTCAGTACTGAAGATTGTCAGATTGTATTGAGCTCCGTCTCCAAGCATACCTTGAACGTGACACAACACATTACCACACAACACACTGACGACCTCTCACGACTCACACAATGTGAAATAGACAATGTCACAACATGCGAATACGACTGAAGGATTCAGACAAATCACACAAAATCCAACATCATATCTACTACAATAAACGTACTAACACAATACTAGTCAGTCTTCACTCACAATCACCAGCCACCACATTTATGTTAGTTACAAAAAATACCACAGTACTCAGACTGTACCTCTATAACAACCTTCGGATACACACACACACATAGCAAGTAAACACGCACAAGCAACAAAATACGCAGACTGTACTGACTAAAACCAGCTCACCCCCAAGCTACAAGTTGTACAAAGCGCTAATCCGCCCTCTCATAACACACGGCCCAACAGCCCTAATGCACACACAAACAAAACAACTCTGCACCGCATCCAAAATAAAGGTCTGAGGTTGATATACGACACGCGTTGGGACGAATTCATCACGAATGAATTCTCCCTCTGGGCGAACACACCACCCCTGAACACATACGTGAAACACCTGGCCAACAGATACACAGAGTAACCATGAACATTACACCACATTCCTCACCAACACAATACAGAGACGCATGAACGCTGACAACCTTCTACACATACCACAATACCCACCACCCGTACTATTGTACACATAGCATACCACTAACCTTCACTAACCCACTAGCTCTATAACTGGCATAGTCAGCCCACCGAGACAGCCTACCCCCTCCTTCACTCCTCCCTTCTCCCTCCCCCCCACCCCCACCCCCAAAAAAAAAAAAACACGTCCACTGATTTCCAAGCCATCACGGGACTGTCTTGACACCATTAGGACCATTGCAGTGACGCTTGGGTGGGCATGATTTAATGCTAATAGATACCCTGAACACTAGGTCTGCAGCTGGGTTGAGCCCTGGAACTACTCTCTTCGATTGCGGCATTTCCTCTCCATACTATATACCCTATACTTCATCTGTCCCTAGTTCCCGCTCATACTTTACCTGTACAATCGATTAATTGATTGATTGATTGATTGCACACCTTCTCAGCCCTTAGAATGTTGGTCTGGAATGGTTCCACTATCAAAGGCAAGGCTCTTAAGTCTCTGTTATGAGGGCCAGACAGTGAGCTACTTTCAAAGTGCACTTTGCAGTACAACACAGAGCTCGATAAAGAGCGGACCTCTGAGCTTCTGTAAGTATTACTGGACAGAAATAAACAAGCAGAAAGGTCATTTTTAAAATCTCCAACCCAGTTTTCAGACACCAAACAGGATGCCAATAGTGAAGGAAGTGGTTGTGATTGAGTAAAAATCCCAGTTAAATACGATTATTTGCACCCTATATAAGTTATTGTATCGGTATCAAGACACCAATCTCACCGGCCTCAGTGTGTCAATACTCTCTTAAGATTAGTAGCTACACATTTGTTCTAGTAAAAAGTGAAACATTAAATGTAGCAGTCAACACCCTCCACCACCTTTGTCACTATATGGTTTGGATGACAATTTGGGTGAACACTAAAGTTGTATAAGCACTATATGAGAGAGAACTACTAGTGGCCAGCGACTCAACTGTTCTCATCTTGAAATACCTTCCATAGCCTACACTACTTTGTACACCCCGGCATATTTACATCCATCGATGCCACACTACTTCCAACACCGGCGAGTCACCTCATGGCCAACCTCAAGTTTTAACAATGCTATGAATTAAACAACACTAGTTTTTGCATAGTATCAGAAATAAACGAGACCAATCACGTATTTTAGTCGATACTGCCGACACTATTCTGAGGACTCATTAGTAAACACTGGAGAATAATAAGGCCTATATTTACAATCCTCTACAGGAGTTACTCAAATCTGGCATTACATGCTTCACTAGATCACTAATATCCTCTTTCCCTAGCTCCATCTCCCATCTCCAATAGAGCCCTCCTATCTTCCTGCATTCTCTCTCCTTTTCCGTCCTTTTTGTCCCATTCCACTTATATACCGTAGCTGCTCTCCCGTTTTTAGGTCCTCTTGATCACACTTTCTCACTCTCATATTACTTGACCCTCCTCTTCTCCTTAGGCCATCATTCTCTTCCCACTTTTCACTCTTTTCTCAGCTAATCAAAGTGTTTTCAGCTACTTCTATTTTTTTTATAGTGGCTGATGAGACTACTTGTCGCTGTTGAGATATAAAGATTAAGGCCAAGAGGTTCTCATGATGATTATAAGAAAGAGATACAACTAGCACGGGAATATTAATGGGAGGGGAGGGGAGGGGTGGAGAGGAGGGGGTGGAGAGGAGAGGGGTGGAGAGGGGAAGGGGTGGAGAGGAGGAGGAGAGAGGGGAGGAGAGGAGAGAGGGGGGTGGAGAGGAGAAGGGTGGAGAGGAGAAGGGTGGAGAGGAGAGGGGTGGGAGAGGAGAGGGGTGGAGAGGCGAGGGGTGGAGAGGCGAGGGGTGGAGAGGCGAGGGGTGGAGAGGGGAAGGGGTGGAAAGGAGAGGGGAGGGAGAAGAGAGGGGTGGAGAGTAGAGGAGTGGAGAGGAGAGGGGTGGAGAGGGGAGGGGTGGAGAGGAGAGGGGTGGAGAGGAGAGGGGTGGGGAGGAGAGGGGTGGAGAAGAGAGGGGTGGAGAGGAGAAGGGTGGAGAGGGAGAGGGGTGGAGAGGAGAGGGGTGGAGAGGGGAAGGGGGGTGGAAAGGAGAGGGGAGGAGAAGGAGAGGGGTGGAGAGGAGAAGGTTGGAGAGGAGAGGGGTGGAGAGGCGAGGGGTGGAGAGGCGAGGGGTGGAGAGGGGGGTGGAGAGGGGAAGGGGTGGAAAGGAGAGGGGAGGAGAAGAGAGGGGGTGGAGAGGAGAGGGGTGGAGAGGGGAGGGGTAGAATGGATGGGAGACAACTAGATATTATCTCAGCAGCGTCATGGTTACCTTGCGTTTATTCCGGGGTCCTAGATCTCCACGGCCCGGTCTCTCGTCAGGCCTCTACAGTGCAAGCACCTGTACGAACATGCAAAGCAATTAGCGTAAGTATTACAGATCCTGACACAAGAGACCTTATTTGGAGCGTTTCCTGTCACGAAATGCGACTGTTCAGCCAGCAGTAAGTAGGTACTCAGGAGTTCGTCAGCTTGTTGTTGGGCTGCTTCCTGGGCGGGGTCGGTGAGTTGACCGGGGGGGGGGGGGGACCTAGAAATTACCATAATATCTATACACTGGCTGTCTGTCCCCCGACACAATGAAATATTCTTATTCTTATTATTATTATTTTTATTATTATTATTATTATTATTATTATTATTATTATTATTGTGAAAGGTCTTAACACAAGAATTCGAATTCCATGTCCAGAGAAAGGATTTGACACAAGACACCCTGACACAAGATGCCCTGACACAAGATGCCCTGACACAAGATGCCCTGACACAAGACGCCCTGACACAAGACGCCCTGACACAAGACGCCCAGACACAAGACGCCCTGACACAAGACGCCCTGACACAAGATGCCCTGACACAAGATGCCCTGACACAAGACGCCCTGACACAAGACGCCCTGACACAAGACGCCCTGACACAAGACTACCTGACACAAGACGCCCTGACACAAGACGCCCTGACACAAGACGCCCTGACACAAGACGCCCTGACACAAGACGCCCTGACACAAGACGCCCTGACACAAGACGCCCTGACACAAGACTCCCTGACACAAGACTCCCTGACACGAGAGACTCTGACACCTGGAGTGTACCTGGAGAGGGTGTTAAAGTTAGGAGTCGTGCTAAGGCTACAACCAGGTACCAGAGTATCACTTAATGGGGTTAGGGTAGGCCCGGCCTCCAGGGGAAACAGTTCCCAAAGAATTAAGATATAATTATGGTTTGCAATTTAAAACAGATCACCTAACCCGAATCTAGAGAGGTGATGGATACTTCAGATGAATATTTTCCTTAATTTAGTTTATTAATCCTAAATTACAACCCTCAAGTACAACAGAAATACTTTACCACCTCCATCTTACCTCTAATTCCACCTAGGAGGAATCGTAGACAGAATCGCGGCAGGAGGCGAGATTCACATACAGCAAACTAGTGATAAAGTCTGCGAGTTCTTAAGGACATGTTACGCAAAAGTGGATGAATAGAGCAG